GAGAAAATAGTGAAGCCGCATCCTACCCGGAAAGAGCTCCACCACATCATCTGGGTGTAGTGGCCCACGGGAGTCGAGAATCTGTTAGAATAATGTCTTTGTTACGCCCTCTCTAGTTACACCAAGTATACTGAGTACTCTCTGTGAATTTCACCTCTCCTGTGGTACTGCAGTCGCAGGTCAGATAATAATCGATTTTTTCCTAATCCCATGCGGCTAAGTCATGGACCAAGAGGTACTTCAATCTGTACTAGAAAGATGGAGCATAGATGAAATTATTCGAATATGCACAGCTCATATATATAACAAGTTGCAAATTGAACATTCAGAACTGTACTTCCGCTCTGTCGCACGACTTACTGGAACGGCTGAATGGCTGACGGGCTGAACTCCGCGACCTCGTCATACCAGGCCTTGATGGCGCGCCCCCACTGGATGCGTGTGTCGAAGTTGCTCTGGAAGCTGATGAAAAGGTTCTGCCCAACACCGAACCTCGCTGAAAGCGCGCACAAAACTCTTGAGCTGAGCTTATCTGGGCGCAATGGCCCATACAAATTAATCTATTCATATAATAAACATAAGGAAAGATATGCTGACGTGCAATGACAATCAGCGAAGCAGTACTTACAGACGCGACGGCAGTCGGAACACTCGTGCTCGAAGATGCACTGATCGGCATGACCCTGAGCGACTAACGCCAGCTCGTCGTCCCACTCCTGCAACCAGAGCAGATGTGTCACCTACCGCACTTTTTTTATACACGTGGATTTGATTTACCATATCTCCTAAGCATGTTCGTTTTCAACTGTATTTGCTCCAGAACTTACCATCAGCCTCATGTTGGCTGCCTGCGGCTGCGGCCCGGGCGCTCCACGGCCCTCTTGCCCCATGGCCACCCGGGACCGCAGTTGGTTGTGTTGCGCCAAGATAAGGGCGGCGTCCTGGGCACTCACGCCTCGCCCCGGCACCTGGGACCCGCAGGTGGGGCCGAGGCCGGACGCGCGGCACAGTGTGTGCTCGGGCGTGAAGCTGCAGTAGGGAGACTGCCCAGCCACCCATCCCGCCCACGCCGTTATCGTTAGCAGCAAACACAACCTTTGGGCCATCGTCAACTGCAATGAAGGAAATTTGGGCATTAGATACAACGAGCAAGCTGTTCTTAAAGATAAATCTGTTAAAATAGATCATGCAGTTGCGCGTTCGGATTACACATTTTGTGTTGCAGGCAACCATGATGCAAAATTCGTTATGCTGCGTGTTTACACCAGAAAAAACACCACTTTATGTTCCATCAAAAAAGTGTTACGATAAAAGATTTACATACTTTCCACTGCTTAATAGCAGATGAATTACCTAATCAATTTCATGTCAGATTAACAGTCTGCATCAAAGGCATACGTCTAGAAGGCAATACAGATCAAGCATTTGATTTCATTTGTTTCCATCAGTATCCAAAGAATCTTAAAAGAAATTACAGGGCTATCTAAAAGACTATGTAAATTAACGTATCACTCTGCCGTGGTCAGAAAGAAGGATCTCTCTGTGAATCCTGAATGACGGAGAACATCATACGAACCGTTTCAAAAAAAAAAAAAAAAAATCGCTGTAACATGTAAATAATCGTCACATCTTTATTCTATAAAATGCATTGATAACAGAAATTTTTCTGACTTATCCACTGGAATCTGAATGAATCCTGCAGTATAGGCCCAACACATCACCAGCGACGCGCATGTTGTACGGCAAAGCGGTAAGTCGGTCTCGCGCAACGTCACTACACATATAATCTTGGGTTCCATGTAATTTCCCCGAACCGCCAGGCGACCTAGCGCTTGCGGCGGCGGGGAGGCGGTGCGCGGCCCTCCTCCCGCCCGCTCTCCCGTGGCCGGCGCGATGGACCAGCGATGGGAAGGTCAGCGCTCGGCATCGCTGTACTCGGTCTTGGAGGAAAAGGCTTAAGAGCGGAGAGAGCGAAAGCCTGAACAGGACCATCAACCCTTTATAGACCCCGGGAAAACTAATGACGGAGATGGTGGAGAGGAATCCTTTAACGATGCGTGTGGCGACCTCGGCATAAGGAACAGCGAAAGTGGCATTCCTCTAGTCGACAATACATAATTTTGGTCTCGGCGATCTACATTCTCTGGTAAACACATGCAAATAAAAACATACACAGTTTAAGTAAATAAATGTGCACACACACACATACAATGTATACATACATTATGTATATATTTTTACCTATATATTTATATTTACACACACACACACACACACACACACACACACACACACACACACACACACACACACACACACATATATATATATATAATATATATATATATATATATATATATATATATATATATATATATATATATATATATTATATATTATATATATATATAACATATATATATATATATATGTATGTGTGTGTGTGTGTGTGTGTGTGTGTGTGTGTGTGTGTGTGTGTGTGTGTGTGCCTGCGCGGGTG